CAAAGAAACTGCTGGATTAGAAGTGGCAGATGCATTTAGCAATTTCAGCAGTAAAAGGGTGGGACCTATATATCAATCTCGTAGCTCGCTTAATTTCATATATTTGGGGAACCAGGAAAAAAAAAACCCTATTCAAAGCAGTTGCCATGAAAAGTTGTAGCAAACACAGATGGAATCCACGTTATGGTGGTTTGTGAAGTGACTGAAGTCGAGATACCAAGTCAGGATTTCTTACATTACAGATCCTTCTTTGGATTTTGTGAAGAATGTCCAGGGTCTCCCTACACAAAAGCAATATAACAGACAACAGAAAACTTTTTGTATCACAACACATTTTCAAATGTAACCAGGGTAAGTTTAATATCATGCCGATATATCAAACAGACAATTACTCGTATCTACAAATACAGGAAAAAAACTTTACAGACAAATTCAAACCCGAACTAAATAGATCGTAACCCCACACACAAAAAACACACAACATGCACACAGGGTGACCAAATACAATGATCAAATCGCTCACATACATGGACGCACACTCATATACGGGAGACACGAGGAGATATATATATGTGTATGTACACATACATACATTTATGTATGTATATGCGGATGTTGACAACTTAAGAAGTACGTGTGTGTGTGTGTGTGTGTGTGTGTGTGTGTGTGTGTGTGTGTGTGTGTACTGGTTCCATGTAGCTTGGGAAATATGTGTGTAAATGTGTGTGTGTACTGATTACTTGTGGTGGGATAGATGTTGTTCCAAAACCAATAACTCATTTTCAATAGCATTTTCGGATACAACAACACATATATTTTCGTTGTCCTCTTATTACTAAGAGAAAAAACCAAGAACAACATCTATTCTATACCTGAAGATGTCTGTAGGAACAGACGAAAGCTTGTAGTAAAAATAACAACTAATACGGCAGAAATTTATATAAACAAGGATCATTTCATTCATAACGGATTTGGAGGTTTTTGTATACTATTTGAATTGTTTGCGATGATGGATGTCTCGCCATTTAAATCATTAACCGTTGCATTAGTTTTGTGTGAATAATTCATGTATTTGTAAATTGATTGCACGTTTATCGTAATATATATATATATATATATATATATATATATATACGTGTGTGTGTGTGTGTGTGTGTGTGTGTGTGTGTGTGTGTGTGTGTGTGCGTGTGTGTGTGTGAGTGTGTGTGTGTGTATACCCCGGATAGAGGGAATCAAATAAAATAGGGGAAAAGTGTCTTGACAAAATTAACAAAATAAGTTGATTTTCTGGTTAAAATTTTCCAAGAGAAACTAACATGGCAGCTGTTAACCTCATTTTGTGTTTCGCATTAACTCTTTGACTTTTTGTCTTCATATTCTTAAATTACGAAAAACAGAGATTATGGAAAGATTTTAAATATTTATTCGATCCATAATCTTACCAGTGGGAGGGATTTCATCACTTCACTGGGATGGATTTGCGACAGAGCCCGGGTCGACATGTTACGATTATACGTCGACCTCTTTAAACAGTCGAAGTGTCATGGCGTCTGTATTGATTAAGTCTAATCGACCGAGAATATGCAGCGTCAACTAGAATTAAAATCAGGAATCCCTGCGGCTGACGTGATTCAACATCGCGTCCCTTCAGATGACATGCCGGAATACGAGACCGAGAACAACGGATCAATCATTACACATACAACGTGACTTTCGAATCTGAGGATAGAAGGATACGTAAAGGTCAACTGATTAGTGGTTACAGAATCGACGATGATTATTTGTTGTCAGAAAATTGCAGTAAGGTTTCCCTCAATACTCATGACACAACGGTGTTTCAAAAGTCGGTGGAGAGACCGTTACATTATTCGGACTATTGTCCTCATCTTTGTCGCCATATTTATTACAACGTTTCGGCCGTTCAGTATCAGTCTATATTTCCGAGATGCGGTATTATGTACACTATTTACATTATTCGGACTATTGTCCTAATCTTTGTTGCCATATTTATCACAACGTTTCGGCCCTTCAGTAACTGTCTATATATCTGGGATGAGGTATTATGTACACTATTTACATTATTCGGATTATTGTCTTCAGCTTTGTTGCCATATTTATTACAACGTTTCGGCCCTTTTGTATCTGTCTATATTTCTGAGATGAGGTATTATGTTCAATATTAACATTATTCGGACTATTGTCCTCATATTTGTTGCCATATTTATTACAACGATTCGGCCGTTGTACGCTCCGGCCTTCTTAGGCCGAAACGTTGTAATAGAGCGATCTTGCAACACTGTTAATGTGTCATTGCATTTTAAACAAAAATATACATTTAATTTTTTTATTTTATTTTATTCGTTTTAAAATTTTATGATTATTAGCTATGCTGTTTTCCAAATTTATGGTAGTTGCAATTATCCAGGTACGCAATTGTCTGGTACACAATTGTCCTGTACACAAATGTAAGTACGCAACTCTCTTAGAACCCCCAAAATCTTGGGACACGTGTCTCGTATCATGTAGGACCCTCTCTTGCCGGGTGAATAACAGATATTCAACTTAATATTTATTCCTCGTGTGTTGAGAAGACGACTGTAGTGATGTTTTGCTATGGCGATTCGATTGATATCCACCTATCTCTGTTATTTCATGTGATAGAGCTTGTATATGAAAAGACTTCTCTATCACGTACCATAAATCTTGGGTGAATATGGCAGCCATGCCATTTGGGGACATTCTCCTAAATATCTTTCAAACCATTCCTGAGCAACTTGGTCCGATATAACGGTGCATTGTTCAGTTCGAATAAGGCATCGTTGATGGGGTCTATGGTTTTAATAATGACGCAACGAATCACCGGTCATTGCCTTGTTTAGGCAGAAAAAAAACACGCCGCGTATCTACACCACAAACAAATACCGAAACCACAATCAACCTGAACGACGCCATGTTGAAAAATGAGTTCCACAGCTTTTTGCGTTCTATGTAACATTGCCGTCAATCCGAAAAAAAAAAAACGACAACAGTTATCGGGACCATTTAATCATTTTACTCCTTGCAATTTGTGGTGTTAACAGGGCCACCATAGTGGGTATTCTGTTCTTGTTGTGTCGGAAATCTACCATCCCTCTTGAAGATGAACTTGTCTGCGTCTGTGAACAGAGACTTTAAATAGTGGCATGTCAGTTGACATGGGGAAGATAGATAGACAGAGAAGTTCTTAGCTGAGCTAGTTATTGACTACTCAGGCGATTTCTGTACCTTTTTACTAACCTATTAAAACCCTTTTTATTGTTACGTGTTATTTGGCGTTTGTCTCTACTAACCCCAAATCAACATCATAACAGTTCTTTTATCTGATAGAATCTAAAACCCTTTCAACTGACTTTCGGTAACTTCTGCATTGAATAAAGATATGATTTGAACCGATAATCTAAAAATAATAAATTAAATTGCTGTGGTTAAAAGACAAATCGATAAAACAATAATCATCTGATTTTATTTAAGAAATCCGGGCAACTTCAGAGAGAAAAAATTATTTCGACTATTTACACTAGAACTACTATCCTCATCTTTGTTGTTATTCAACGTTCCGGCCGTTTTACTCTACGGTCTTCCTCGCGTGTATTAACTGAACCATCTACTTTATCCACGGGGGATAAACCGTTCTCATTCCACTTCACATATCTTCTATTTCTTTTTTTAATTTATTATTGTTCAGTTATTGATTCCCTGCTTCCAATGAATGCCCCTTGCACACTGCCCGAACCAAAGATTGAACACACAACCATTATGTCATAAACAAAGGATTTTATACACTATACCATTTTTCCTGTAGACGGCCGGAAGAAAAAAAATGCTAATCCTTGTGATAACAACAACAAAGATGGGGACAATGATCCGAATGTGTTTATACATCCATATATATATATATATATATATATATATATATATATATATATATATATATATATATATATATATATATATATATATATATAAGACGGTTCCGTATAGGATACAGGATCGAATCCTGTTGGAGGACAGATATTTTCTATGAAAATTTCTCGGACATTCAGGCCGGTAAATGTTAATTAATACTGTTTATTATAAACAGAGCATTTACTTAAATATTTGTATCTATAAAAGAATGTTAAACATAAAAAATGTTTTTATATATATATATATATATATATATATATATATATATATATATATATATATACCGAGTGTGACAGTAAAATTGTCCAAATCGTGTAATTGCATAATTATCCATCCCACAAAATCTTTAATATCTAAAAAACACTAAACTAATTGTTTCTTCATTACAGGTATTCAGATAATAATAGCCATCTTGATACCATTTGCCGTAAGAATAACTGAAAATCCTTTGAGTTATTATGCTACAAAGAGAGCATGATAAAATTCTATTGTGTCAGACCCAGCGTCTTTCCAACTGAGCAATGGTGAGAGGAAAATGATCATTCAGGTCTTCATTAATGGTACTGACATTCATACACTGGCTTCCATCTTCAAAGTACATTCAAGAACCATCAAGAGAAAAATAATAAGTATAAAAATTAGGGGAGAGTATACAGGAAAACTAGACCAGGAGATCACAACAGCAAGAGGGATATTCAATTTAACTTACAGTTAAAGAAATCAATAAGAAAAAAATCGAACTTAAATCATAAGACGTTTGGAACGTGAGAGAGGAATTTCAGCTATATCAGTTCAAACAGCAGTGAAAAAAAGATTAAAAATGATGTCGTTCGCGAAACCTATGAAACAACTTGTTACTTCAGGACAGAAAGTTAGAACGTTAGAGAGGGTGAAGATCATCTTGAACAACTTGGAAAATCATCCCAATAATATATATATATATATATATATATATATATATATATATATGAACATTATCTCAATACTTCATGAGCTTCCGAACCTTAACGATGAACATGTAATTTTCGTTTATGATCGATTTCATCGCGAAACTTATGTTAAGCTTATTATTAATACTTATTCCCCAAAATAAATCTATCTATCTATCTATCTATCTATCTATCTATCTATCTATCTATCTAATACCGCCATACTTGACATATGTCTAGCAATGTGATAGTTACTTTTCTCTCATTTTTCACATAATTTTTCCTCAATTTAATTACAGGTCTCCTTTCACATTTTCAAATCCACATTTGCCATTGCTTCCACAAATATGAAACAATCAATCACTCCGCGCTCAACATCAACCTCATCTATTAATTTTATTTTTTCCGGACTCATTAGATTCAGTTTCCGTTTGTCCTCATCGGCATCGTCTATCTTCCTCACCACGCTCTCCTTTGTTTAAGTCATAGACAAGATTTTCTTTGCGTTGTTTAAATCGCACGGCCTCTTCCTTGCAGTTCCGCTGAAGCAAAACCCTTGTCATCAGGATGTCAACCAAGAAGGGAAATTCTGCTGGCGGCAGTGATCGATACGCGGATCGATATATGAAATCGACAATCTCACGCACTCATTGGAATTTGCAGTCCAGGATTAGGTTGGCGAATTAATTGGAATGAGATGATTGGTAAGACGAACAGAGGATATGAGAGGAAGAATTGTTTTGAGAAGAAAGGGTTTTTCTAAAAGTCTTGAACTCAAACAGGCAAGAGTAAAATTATATCTATGTAGGCCTATTTGTATGT